TATATCTACCGATTTGATTTTTAGGGTCTTTTTTCGATAAATGGTTATACAACCTTTTGCCATTAAGTGACGTGAAGATAACAAACGAACATTTAATAAAACCAACTTTTTAGCCTTTATATAAGATAAACAAGCAATAAATACTAAAAAAAACAACTATACTAAGCGTAAAAGAAAGCACCAACACTAGTTGTTGAAGCGTTCGGGTATATTCGGGTAGTGAATGATCGGTTGTATAATGGATAAGGGCGAATTTGCATTTTAACCTACTGTTAGTTAATAATTAAGCATATAGATATTGCAATATTCTACATACTTAATTATAGCTTCAAAAGACCGTTTTTGTAAAAACTTACCTTGTAATAAATTTTAACAACAAATAATTCTTAATTATAATTGGCTAATTTTGGAGTTAAACCAAATCAGTGGATATAATAAGGCGGCATAAAAAAAATAAATTGGTTTTCATATCCCGGCCGGGTCAGAATTGATCAGAGTCAAAATTTTATTTTTATGCCGCAGTAGGTAAGCAGCCAATAAGAATGCATGATTTCATTGTTATAAAATAGGATCGTAGTGAATGTTATTTTTATTTTATATAAGAGATTTTATACATATAATAAAAGATTTCTAAAAACTATCTGATTTTGTTCGGCGCTGTTTTTCCTTTTTGTTCGTACTTGGACTCCACTTATAACGCTTTTTTGGTAGAGATTTTCCACCACATCTGGCACACAATGGATGTTCACCTTTTGAAGGATTTGTTACATCCCTATTGCTACACAAAAAGCAAACTGGGGGGAAGATTCCTGCCGAATAGTAGGGTTTTTCAATTGGAGATGCACAACTCCAAGAATCATTTACAAAGACACATTGAAAGAGCTTGTAGATAGGATCGTCCTTTGTGAATCTATTTTCAGGTTCGCCAGTTTCTTTGTTCGCCGTATAGCTTGAATCTTCATTAATCTCTGTGTTTCCCATATATGAGCAACTAGCTCTAGTAATCACATTGTTTTGTTGGATTTCATCTTGCTGGCTTTCAACTTGTGGATCAATTTGTTTGTCGTCACTTAGTTGGTCGTCACTTAGTTGGTCGTCACTTAGTTGGTCGTCACTTAGTTGGTTGTCACTTAGTTGGTCGTCACTTAGTTGGTCGTCACTTAGTTGGTCATCATTTTGTTGGTCGTCACTTAGTTGGTCGTGGTTGTCACTTAATTGGCTGTCACTTTGTTCATCGCTTTGTTGGTCATTATTATTCTCAACATCGATAGTATCGGCATTAATGAAACTGGTGGAAGCAAGATCACAGGTATTATGAAAAGACATTCCGCATGTGTATAAGATCGTGTCTAGGAAAGATTCTAATATTTTACGCTCTTTTTCTATTAATTTTTTTGAACTAAACAACAAACGCGGTTTCTCACATTCTGAACAAGTAACAAAAATTCCTACGTTTTTTGCACGTATAGAGGAAGGGCTAAACGGCATGGTATGCTTTAGATTAGATTTTACTTTACCTAACTTGGTGGATCGTAATTTAGCATTTTTGAGCGAGGGTCTATATTCTTCCGTTGTACGTGTGCCATATAACTCATCAAATGATTTATAATGAACACCTTCGCCAGGAACTGGATCAGGGATACAATGAAGTTGTTCAAATTCTTCTTCGGAGCACCGAAGTGGTAGGCAAATCATACATCTTTCGTTTCCGCATTTCTTAATGGTGAAAAAATAATGTCTTATGGTACAACAATGTTCGATAAATTCCTTCAACCGTGGCTACAAGAAGGTAGGTACCATAGTTATTAATATTATCATAAACTCTAAAACACTTTACTTACTCTTTTTGTTATGCTTTCTGCTGTACGATCTTGTTGAGTTACTTCATCATCAATTAGGTGAATTGTTTCCCATAATTCTGTAATATTAATTTCAGTCGCTGCATCGAATGTTTTAAAAGGTATTTCTTTTAACGATTGGCGTTCAAAGATGCTACGAACTAGATTAATTGGTTGCTGGACACTTCTAATAAGCTCATCTTTTAAAGTAGGGTTACTTTCTGCGATGCATCGAATTTCTTTTATTGTATTCGCTTTTTTTATTACTTTTTCTAGCTCATCATCCATTTTACTTCGCATTAGACCAACGCATTGCAGTCCAAGATTTAAAATAGACATTATGCGCTCTACTGGATTTTTCCAAGAGTGTTGGGGTGGGGTTCTTACTGCAATGAAGTAGTCAAGGTCTAAGGCCAGAAATAAGCATATGTACGACAATTGGACGCGTGTAAATGTACAACGATAGTCAGGTCCACCATCCGTATAAAGACAGAGAACAGGTTTGTTGGTGATGTTTTTTTCCAGTAAGATATTATATAATTCAGCAGCATGTCTCATTGGCGAAGAACGCTGAAAAATAGCATCTTTTAATCCAATATGAACCTCTCCCGCATAAAAATCTCTATTAATTGACTCTGGGATATCACATATCATTGTGACACTTGGTATTATTCCGGCCTTCGTATAGTCATGATCACCAACCATCATTGTAGAACCATTACTAACAACAACTTGCTTACCTCTTTCTATAGCAGCTACTAGATATCCGGGTTCTCCAACTTTACACCTATGTTTGTCATCTAAAAATACTAAAGTCGTAATTTCACGAAACTTTGTGGCAAATTCTTTTTCATACCGAAACAATGCAGATGCATAATGCGCATCTGGATGATGAGCACGAAGCTGACGAACTTGTATCATAAATTTTAAAGGTAGGAGTCCAGTATACTGTAAACTACTAAGTCTAGTCGGATTTTTAGGCCAGAATTGGAGACGAAGCCATTGTGTGCTTGGAATTGGTGTATTGGGAGGACATTCATTTTTTATCTGAGTTAGTAAGTCATTAACTGAGATGGCAGTTGCTAGATGAACAATTGTATCATGTCGACGTTCGTCGACCGCTGTTACAAACTCTGATGCTTTTTTTGAAAGAAAATCAGCCGCAATTTTCCAAAAAGCCTCATATTTACTTGGTCTACCAGGATTATGTTCACGTAAATCAGTTGTAATTTCAGGGTCGCCTAATTCAAGAGCTAATCTAATTCTTTCATCCATTTCTGCTTCGTTGACAGACTCAGGTGCAGAAGAATCTCCGGTTAATATACGATAAATTGTGCGGAGCGCTGCAGGTTTAGCTTTTGGTAAAAGTAGGTCACATGTATGCAAATAGCTGGCTTTCATTGCACGAGTATGATAGTGAGGGACTTTGACCTGAAGCTCATTAACTATATTTGTGTTTTGTTGCATCAATGTAGTTTCATCAGCATTACTATCTATTTTCCAAATTGAAATTGCATTAAATGCATTATTGCTGGAATTAAACCAAAATTCGCCAAGTTTAAAGGTAAATGCTCGAGATAACCCTTGTATGTAACGCATTCTTAAACTACAAATAAACGAATATAAGATTAGCTATTAACAATTATTATCGTATTTTGCGAAAATATGGTATTTTCAATTTACTTACACAGGAGTTGTTGGTAAATAATTTTCGATATCAATTGGTGTCCATAAAGGTAAATCATTAAGGGCATTTTCTAATTGGTGATATTTGATTTTGTCATCCGGTGTTACGAAAATATTACTTTGATGGATTTTAACTTTTATGGCATCTTCTATATTGCGTACTGGAAATGTAGATGCATAGTTTTCTATTGTAATTTTATTTTGTTGCTGTAAAAAACTAACATAATTTGAAATAGTCGTGATCAAGCTATTATAGGGTTCACGAAGCCAAGTAAATAATGGTTTGAATATCCACGGTAATGTTGTATGTAATGCGAGGGCTTGGCAATGAAGATTTAACTCAATTGCATTAAAAGGTTTTCTGGATGTCTTATACGACTCAGGGTTAGCACGACCAAAAAAGCCTAAGAATAATTCTGGAATATGATAGCTACGTTCTTCAAATTTTTTGTGACCATGCATATCAATATACCAAATTGCTTCAGATAAACAACTAACAAATTTTTTTCCTTGTGTATTAGCATATTCAGCTGAAGACCATTCTCCTCCATGTTGAAGAATCCATTCAATTATATCATTGTATAATGTTTGTTTCCTGTTTAATCGTTCTAATTTCAAAATAGGTGGCAAGTATATTTGTTTTTTTTGCATTATCATTTCGAATGCATTTTGGCAGGACACTGGAGAAGTTATGTTATCATTGGGTTTAAGAATATAGTGTATGTTTACGCCAAATGTCTTGGTTAGCTCTATTATTCCACAACTGTGACTGGTTTGAATGGCCGTTGCACCTAATGTTTGGCTTAGTTCGATATGATCAATTGTTTCCAAAGAATTTATAGAAATATTGCATTCTGGAGATATTTCACTTGTAACAAGTTTATCAAAAAAATCTTTAATGGACATCTCATATGGGATAGGATGGATATACCAACCATGAAGTGTTTTAGATCCTTTTGAAATGCGTACGTTTGCAACTGGCATATTTTTTTGTTCGAAGTTTAGACAAAATTTTATATGTATATTTTAGATTTTATTTTGACTCTTATTTATATGTTTTATTTTAAATAGTTAATGCTTTCTTTTCACATAGCAAAGTATATTTCAATTGGTAATTTCGCTATACAAATAATGTTTTCTGATTCTCAGATAAGTATTATACTCAATTTATTTTTGATGTATCGCATTTATCGAATTAGATCAGCAATTTTCGAAAAATTTAACTTTAGCTTTTTACAATGATCAAAGTTCTTTGATCAGGTCTCATAGAACTATGATAATGTGCAGAGCTAAATGCAGTAATAAAGGCTTCAAATTTGAGCTGATCTAATTTGAAAAGAGCAATAACTTTCTTATCTATAACTTCCAGGTAATAATTGGCTGATGCACATTTCTACTAAAAACAGAGAATTTTCAATGGAAGGTAAGCGAATGCATTTTAATCGAATTTAATGCACTAAGATAAAATCATGGCCATGGTTGGGAAAAAGTTGGTTAGCAATACGACACAAAAAAAAAAGTAAAGTACATGGAATTTTGGAACAAAATTGATAGTTATAGAACCTTTATATTAGAAATGTGGAAAGTCCTCCTTATCTGTGAGTCATGTGAATCTACATTATGATTCTGAACTGCATATTTTATATTCTTATTGTTTGACAATAAATAATATGATCATTAGTGCATAAATTTCGTTATAATTGCACGTTAAAACAATCATTATACAGTTATAGCTAAATGCGATTGTTATAATTTTCTTTGTTGAATTTCTGCACCACATTTGTATCATGTAACAGACCTTATCTTTATAGAGTATAGAATGCAAGGATTACACTTAAGACTAGTGTTTTGGGATATTCGGCCATTGTTAGAATGGACTGGGATATGCGATGTACCTATATGTGCATTTAGGTTATATAATTTTCGACACCACATGTACACATATGTATATCAATATGTAGTTAATTCTGTGCGTCTTTATAACAAGATATAAAGGTTTAAGCTTTAAATCCAGTATGGTAAGTTAATTCTTAAAAAAACCTCTTTCAAAATATGCAGGCTATAAAGTTGACTGAAGAAATCTAAATCCGACTTATTTAGATTATAATCAATATCAGTTTCGCCATAACATCGCTTTTTGTCCTTTTTTTTTTTTTTAAAAAAAAAAAAAGGCATCGTGAAAATATTCAATTGCGTACTGTGAAATGTATGTGCATATGATACGCAAAAAATATGAACACTACGATATATATCCACATCGCAAATTTTAGTCCATTCTAATTCGGGTTCAAATTTTCATCTAAACTACATCAACTTTTTTTATGACGACTGGAAAGGTATTTCATTCATAAAAACCCTGGTTACAGCATAACAGATCGGACTTATCTTTTGCTAACTAGGCATGGGAAAAATGCGCATTTTATAATAACATGCGTATTAATGCGCATGATATATAAAATGTGCATGATACCGCATGATAAAAATTTATTCACACTTAGGCCCAGACCAATTTGATTCATTACTCTTTAAAGAGGGGAAAAAAGGTGAAAAGGCGGAAAAGGGAAGGTATATAATAAATTTTACCTATTTATTATTACCTTCGGAAGTATATATTATTTATTTCTGGATAGTGGGGAATAATGAGATATTTCCTTGGATTTTTTCGGCTCCTGTTGGAGCCGAAGAGAAAAAAATCCAGTACATCTCTGGTTATCTAGGGCCCGAAGGCTCACAGCAGGGCAGGGATCTCTACTGGG